TGATTAGCTGTAATAAATATGTTAAAAGAAAAGGTACAAAATTTATGTTGATAGGAATATCGTGTTGATTAGTTGCAATAAATATTTTAACTGAAAAAGTACAAAATTTACGTTGAAATGATAGGAATATCGTGTTGATTAGTTGCACTAAATATTTTAACTGAAAAAGTACAAAATTTACGTTGAAATGTTAGGAATATCGTATTGATTATCCGTAATAAATATGTTAAAAGAAAAGGTACAAAATTTACGTTGAAATGATAGGAATATCGTGTTGGTTAGTTGTAATAAATGTGTTAACAGAAAAGGTACAAAATTTATGTTGAAATGTTAGGAATATCGTGTTGATTATCTAACAAAAAGAAAAAAATAATCTTTAATCTTAAAACCCCGTGTGGAAAAAAACACTCCATAAAAGAGCCGTATCTAGACTTGTGCTCAACAGAAAATAAAAGAGCAATTACAATTACAAAGTTATAGTTATAAAGTGCTGGATAGAGTGAGAAAGGGAATTCCAGAGGTTGAATGAACGGATGAAGAAGGAACGAAAGCCGTAGTTCTGTGTTTATGAGGATCTGATGAGCTAGAACGAATATGGCGGTATTGTACTGAAGACCTAAAGGTTAAGAGATCATCTATATAAGGAGGGGAATAAGAAGATACTGTATGGTAAAGGAAGGAGTCAAGGAAGTAGAGCTTGGACAGGGTTACCTGCTTTGAGCCAAAGTACATATCAGTCGCGTGGGACCTCCGTGGTAAGGCGGAAAAAAAGTACAAAAAAATTAAGTGCTTAAGTCTTACAGCTCCCCAGTGTACATTACACATCCATAGTCGAAGTGTGGGAAAATAAGAGAGAAAACAAGAAGTTTATGGGCACCGATGGGAAGAAGGTGGACGGAATTGACGGAGGGTGGAAAAGCAGCCGCGGGAGATCTGGGAATTATGAGGTTTTCAAGATAATATCTAGTCAAGTACAATGCCAAGGTTCTTGACAGTGGGTCAGAAACAAGTAGAGTGATTGTTAAAAAAAAATATTTTACTGTTTTTGGATTTGGATTGATAAAAGCTCAAACTTGAACATGTATGTACATCTACCGGCCATTCTAGCTTTTATAGATTACAATAAATTGGCGGTAGCCCTCGGATGTTGGAAGTCTGGGAACAGATCTCGGTCTTATCGGACCAGCATCAAAGTTGGGCTCCGAATTCTGTCAACAGCTGGGTCGATTCAGCACTGACTAGTTCCTATTCTTAAATGCATAACATTTACATAACATTCACTCAATTAGGGTTATGAAGTCCTCCAATCCTGCATCACCCTTTGTATTAAAAACTACTCTAATTGATCGATGGGGATCTCATCGCCATCGACTCTTTCGTACTACACATGAATACATTTCGCACTCAATACACTCTAGGGACACAAAACTGTCAGTACTATATACAATAAAACAGCCCTTTTTTTCCGCCGTGATACTTGCTGCCGTGCGAATCGGGCGGCATTCCTGCACGCTCCCTATACAAGGCCAAGAAGTTGAACCCTTCAACAGAGGGGTTCAAGAAGCCTTTTTCTACATGCAGGTCACTATATGCAGACCTTATTAACCTGTCAACCTCATCAATTGCCTATCCTTAATTTTAACCCTAATCCTATAATCTTAAATTAAAGGAATACCGATCGACAGTGCTATTGATCTATCCAGCGACGCTGCCGCCTTCTTTTAGTAGTGCTTTTTATTTTTTTACTTTATACCTTTTATAGAAAAATGTAAATTGTTACAATTATTACTGTTCATATAAATTACTATATTATTTTTTTGCTAGACCATACCAATATTTCAACAAACCATCAAATCTGAGGTGATAAAAGTATACTAAAAGATTAATTAAACAGTAGCAAAAAAATATTCAAAAAATAAATTATTTATATGTTTCAACGTAACTAATCTTTAACATTTACAGTTTAAATCAAATTTTTATTTAAAAATCAAATGAATGCTCATTCAATAGGATTTTATCGATGGTTCTTTGCCTCTCTTGGCTGTTTTGGAAACAATAATACATTAAAATTTTTTACTACCATTAATAGTTTCAATTAGAAAGGTGAAAAAGTGATTGGTTTTCTGAGTAATACAATTATAAATTGTGCTAAAATGTTCTTTTCATCTAGCATGATTGCGCCTTTTATCACGGTTGTCCCCTAAAGGCGAAATTACTGAACATTTCACCGTAGAATTGAATCTTGCTCGTAGATTGAAGGCCGTCTTTCATTTTCCCCTTTCGACTACTGTCACCTTCAATTAAAATTAATAATTTTACGACCATTTCTCTTCGCAGGCAACTAGCCATCAATAGTTGTACAATTTCGTTCATATTATAGTTAGACGACCGGGTTTGAGCATTAAATCGGGTCGATTTTCTCCTTGACGGTTCACTATAGAAGCGAGGTTATAAGTCGGCCGATTATTTTTAAAGAGTGTTATATCTCAATTAGTGTCTCGGTTTCGTTTTTTCCCCGCAGCGTGAACAATGTGTACAATGCGGCATGAAAAATCTTCTGCGGGAAGTAACACGTGTGGGAAAAATGAACAAAAGCAAAAACATTTTGCTTGATTTTTTATTAAAACTACAGATCAAACGCAGTTCAAGCCTATCTGACTGAATAGAGATTTTCACTGAAGATGGCGTGAAGCTTAAAAATATTTAAGTGAAACAACAATCAGCGAAAAAGAAAGTAATTTTTTGTTAATCGTCTATCAGTTTAACACAATAATATTTGTTCGAAAACAACGTTATACATAAAAAATCATTTTTTCGATCAATAGATTTATTATTTTGAAGAAACATTAGTAACTGATTCTTGTCAGCCAGCTTTTTTATTTGTCTTGACGATTTATAAATTTTGGACCGGGATGATATGGGAATCAATTTGCTGAAGAACATAACATACAGCGAAACCGCGAGTTGGGTATGTTTTGAGATAAAATAAAAAAAAACATCAACCTTAATCATTTCATCATTAAATTTCTCTGACCCAATGATAGTTCTTGTCAAATTGAAGTTTCAAATTGGTGTTTCAAAAAGAGATTATAAATGTTAATATTCCATGACATATTTTTTTTAAACAGCATGCGTAAAATTTAAATGACACGGTAAAAGTGATTTGTGGTGGCCACAAAGTATCCTGATTGGACGTTAATGGGCCACTTTACTTTCAACTTTTGCGCCACCCGGTCAAACCTCACGATTCTGGAGCGGGATATGCCATGTTTGCGGATTTGAATCCAGGTTCAATGTCTCCAGATCGATCCAAATTCAGATATCCGGTGATCTCTTTTTTCCCCATCTGGGTCAAATCTTCATCGAAAGTCCATATCCACTTAAACTAATTGAGATATAATTGGCGGCTTTTGAATTTTATGCGGTCGCACCAATTTCTCCCCGGTGCCGAAATTATCGATGAAAAATGCAAATACCATTCACATCGGCGGCATGGTTTATAACACAGAGTTAAACGAGGCTGACTGCATTCCGAGATAGACCCTACAAACAGGGAACATGCAATTATCGCCCAGAAAGCTCTGACGACCCGTTTTAACGGTCGCCAATAACACGGGCAAATTTGGGTCGGCCTAATTAACAAGGATCTAGTCCGGGCTTAATCCAATTTCAAAAAACACATACAAAAAAATCAGAGCAGAAGTGAAAAAAATTCGAGTAGGCGTTTTGGCCGGAGGGGTTGGCCTTGATCCACGTTCCAGTTCCATCTTCCGCGCCCCACCTGGAAACTTGGAAAGTACCTCTCATTAGTCATCTATTAACTTGCCTACGGAAAAAAATAAATAGCTTTACCACTTTCAACTTTCATCTTTCATAATTGTAATTTGTTTGTAAAGGAAGTTAATGTGTGAATTTGTATCCTTCGGAGTAAACATGCAGTAAATTGAACTTCGGACCATTTCTGTTATTTCTATGGCCTACAAACTATTTATACATATTTTTAACTATAATAGTATCATCCATCATAATTACATTTTAGTTAAATTATGAAATACTTAAAAATATAATTAAAGTAAATATAACACTTTTTAACCAGTTTTTAAGCTAAATGAAACACTGATTGTTGTCAGCTACAACAATTCGACTATGATTAAGTTAACCCATTTGTTGTTGCACGGATGTAGATCCTTGCATATTAATGACTAGCTTAATCATAGACGAATTGTTCCAGCTGGCAACAGTCAGTAAATCGAATGTAACAACATTTTTTTAACCAGTTTTTAAAGTAAATGAAACAATGATTGTTGCCAGCTAGAACAATTCGTCTATGATTAAGTTAACCCATTTGTTGTTGTACGGATGTAGATCCTTGGGAATAATGGCTAGCTTAATCATAGACGAATTGTTCCAGCTGGCAACAGTCAGTAAAATAAATATATTAACATTTTTTTAAACCAGTTTTTAAAGTAAATGAACCAATGATTGTTGCCAGCTAGAACAATTCGTCTATGATTAATCTAACCTATTTGTTGTTGCAAGAATGTTGATCCTTGCATATTAATGGCTAGCTTAATCATAGACGAATTGTTCCAGCTGGCAACAGTCAGTAAAATAAATATATTAACATTTTTTTTTAAACCAGTTTTTAAAGTAAATGAAAGAATGATTGTTGCCAGCTAGAACAATTCGTCTATGATTAAGTTAACCCATTTGTTTTTGCACGGATGTAGATCCTTGGGATTAATGGCTAGCTTAATCATAGACGAATTGTTCCAGCTGGCAACAGTCAGTAAATCGAATGTAACAACATTTTTAACCAGTTTTTAAAGTAAATGAAACACTGACTGTGGACCGTTATAACTGAATATACAATAGTCCAACGAAAAGATATGTAACGATACTAATGCTATATCAGAAGGTCAGAATAGTTTTCCTGGTAACTTCCTCTCTCTATTAGAGTTGTTATTTATTTTTTATGAATTATTCTTTTTGGATTGCAGCTCGTCGTAAGAAGAAAGGTGGCGGAATCATTCTCTTGTTGCTCATGATGGTCGGCTCCATGGTCAAGCTCAAGCTCGGTGCTCTTGCCGTCCTCGCCGGAAAAGCTCTCATCATCGCCAAGCTCGCCCTCGCCCTCGCAGCCATCATCGGACTGAAAAAACTTCTCAGCCACCACGACGACCACCACGACTACCAGGTGGTACAGGTACCTCACCACGGTCACCACAGGAGATCCGTCGACTTACCCTACAGGGCATACGCACCCAAGGAAGAATAGGGTGCAAAGATCGTCGTTTCATCCCGTGTATATTTCTCTCCCTAATTTATCCACCAACTATTTATTATCCATTATTTATTAATAAATTATTATTTTCATAACAAAAAAACTTTTGTGTTTCTATTCGCCCAGCAATCAAAATATCGATCATGTTCTTGTGATCCCGGGTAAGAAAACCGGTGACCTACTTTTCCTTCAATTACCTGTTGATATCTGACCGAAAGGTCACCAAAGGGGTTAGAAGGGGGGTGGAATGCACTGGTAATAAGTTTTGTTACCCTGAGCTTTGCGCTTCAGTGTACAATTAGCGTTCAACCTGTGCAGTGGTTAGGATTCCCAAGCAAAAAATGGATTTCCTGCAAGGATGGAAGGATAAACAAACGGTAACTTTATATATCAAACATAGTAAACATTAGAATAAATAATAATAATAAGGACTAGAATAATAACATGTTAAACAATGTAACTGTTGTTCGTTCTATCAAGGTCGTGGACTGTATATCCATAGATCGCTGGTTCACATCCGGCCCGGAAGACCATTTTGTTGTTATCCCTGATGGTAGTGGTCATAAAAAAGGGGTAACTGACGTCTTTAATGTACTATAATTTTATGATGGAACACAATGAAATTTTCAAGGTCGTGAACCTTGCCAGAGAACAATGATTGACACACTGACTGTTTAAAACTATCCCTGCATCTATGCCACGTGCCACACTGTTACCACGTTGATAGAACGAACAACTTTTATGTAGATTTAAAATTTATATATATATNTATATATATATTGTAAAACAGACTTATAAAATCACTGTCCAATAATAGAAAGTCCAGTTATTTTTATTTGTCATACTAGTATATTAATTTGAACTTTAAAAATATAAAATATCATAAAACGATAAATTATATGAATTATTCTCAAGCGTTACAAGGACTTTTTAAAAAATTATTTATAATATTACATTAGTACATGTAATAAACCATGCAATTGTTCAATGGATCGTGTCGAAATTAAAACAAGCCACCTACCACATAATTACACTTCTAGGCTATAATTTCTAAAATATATCAAATTTTCCACGATCACACATTTACAAAAGTCATAATATTATAACGTATGTTTTTCAACATCCTTTTTTATTGATTCCAGTTTTGCATTAAAAACAATTCAGTTGATTAATCTTTATGTAAGGTATTGGTTGAAATGAAAAAGTTAGTGTGTATTCGAACCCACGATCTTCGTTTTACTTATTACATCCATTATATTTCGTGGCCCGATTGACCTAATAACTTATTCAATTAATTAATCTTTATGTAAGGTATTAGTTAAAATGAAAAAGTTAGTGTCTCGAGCGGGATTCGAACCCACGACCTTCTGCTCAATTCGCCGCTGCTCTACCACTTGAGCTATCGTGACTTCGATCCACTCGGACACGAACTTCCCATCTCAACGTAACTTTCGAATTTTCCCTCCTTTCTGCCATTTGACAAATGTTTAATCTATTCGATTCTCGGCGACAAATGAAAAGCTTTAGTAAAGATATACTTAATTTTCCTTATTAAATCCATTATTAATCGTGGTCCGATTGACCAAATAACTTATTCAATTAATTAATCTTTATGTAAGGTATTGAAATGAATCCAATACCTTGTCAATCAAACCACGAAATGTAATAGTGTTAAAAACAATTATGTTTTAAAATCGCTGTATTGTATTTTTTGTTTCAAATCCAGCAAAAGAATTTTCATAAAAGCTTGTGTAAATAAATTACATCGACTATTCAAGTATTATACTTTCCTCGAGCACTACATTACAAATGAAAATATTACTTAATTTTGTTATTTTAAATTGTTGATCTTTCATAATTTAAGTTGTGAAAGGTTCATACGAATAACCTTCAAATAACTTATTCTGTACTACTTCGATTTTTCGAATCTGAGTTAAATACATCTTGGTTTTTAAGAACATTGCGCTATTTTTTTACTTCATTTATTTACGTACAACTTCATAGTCATCATACACAACCAGCAAATTCTATCTATGTTTTATGAATGTGACATCGGCGTTATAGAGGACGTTACAAATCACCTAAGAGGTCTCTGATTCGTATTCTTTTTAGTCGTCTACATGGTAGTTGCTGAGCATGAATTTTTTTTTTGTTAGTGTAATCTTGCAACTCGTAATAGGCTTTGATAGAGGAAAAAGTTACACATCGTCAGACATTACTACCCCAATATTCATACCCTCCATGTGACGTAACATGGTCGTAATAGACTAATAGCAGTTCAGATTGGTATGCAACCGATTTCAATATTTTAAGTCTACAAACCAAAACACACCGCGGTTTACCCACCAGGAAAGATATGTGACAAACAGAAGATTGTTGTAAAGTTTAATGCTCCAGTACCTCTTGTTATCCGCAATGTCCAGTGAACCACCCGAAACATTAAATGAATACATTTTGAAACATTTCAATTCTACGAGTTCTTGTCCTGCTGAAGACTGCACATTATGCTTTAGAATGATGTAAGTAAAATTAGTTAATAACATGGCTTGGCCAGTCAAATATTTATGTAGTTCGACACAAAGTGAGGTCGAACTACGAAGTTAGGTCGTCAGTAGCTAGTTCGACACAAAGAAGCGTAAAGTGAGGTCGAACTACGAAGTTGGGTCGTATGAAAGTTAGCTCGAACTACGAAGTTGGGTCGTTAGTAGCTAGTTCGGCACAAGGAAGCCTAAAGTGAGGTCGAACTACGAAGTTGGGTCGTCAGTAGCTAGTACGACACAAAGAAGCGTAAAGTGAGGTCGAACTACGAAGTTGGGACGTCAGGAGCTAGTACGACACAAAGAACCGTAAAGTGAGGTTGAACTACGAAGTTTTAACGTAGTCTTTAGGTTGTAAGTAGTCATTAACATAGAGCAGAATCAATACTGGGCTTAGTATGATTCCTTGAGGCCCTTCCTTATCATAATTCTTAAAACGAATTCTGCGCGGGGTCATTACCATATTTTATGTCCACGTTAGTCTCTTATCCTATATATATAATTCTTAAATAGGTAGGCAAACAGATAAATAGGTAATATGGCGGTGTCGTCTGCATGTCGGTGATATGTATTATCATCTATACGACGAACAAGCCGTAAAAATAGAAATGATAGAAATGATAAATGATGGAGTGAGTGTGGTGTTCAATCCTTTTTAAAAAGGTAGTTCCTACTCACAGTAAGTTGTTTTGCAACGATCCGGATTTCGAGCCTTTTAGCTCATCAGGTTGAAGGGCTTCTACAACCACGTCTCTCGACATGAATTGCCAAAGTGAACCCGCTGATACCTCCGCCAACGCGACGTTCCAATTAGCAGCTAATTTGTTTAATGGCACTCAATTTGAACGTGCGAAACGCGGAAATTATAACACAATTTTTTTTTGCATTAAAATTAAGATTTTTGTTTTATTTATTGCTATCTGTACATAATATACATTGAGGAAATAGTTAGTTATAAACTAATCTGACAGACCTGTCAGACCAGGAGGCAGTGGGGAGAGAAACCAACTTTTATTTAATTGGGGGGGGGAGTAAACGTTAATTCGGTGGGTTAGATAGCAGGTCACGAGGCCATCGTCGTTTTAATCGGCGTGAGGATTGTAAGGGTGAGATGTTGAGGAAAGAGTTAGGGCTAGTGGGTTAGGATGGAGGGAGAGTTTAGAGTGAAAAGTGAAGAAGCGTGTATGGATAAGATCTTTTACGAAAGGGATTTTAAGATCTTTATGGATCGTTTGATTTGTGACGTAGAAAGGGGATACGGCGGAGAACTTTAGATTGAAAAGACTGAATCCGTTGGATATTGGATGATTTGGCCCAGTCCCACAGCTCGACTCCGTAGGCCCAAATAGGTCTGATGAGTGTTTTGTAAGCGGTTAGTTTGTTATGTATGCTTAGTTTTGATTTTGGTCCAAGAAGTTGTCTGAGTAATCCATATCTTTTGTTAATTTCTTGCCGTTTTAATCGTGTATGTGGCTTCCAAGTAAGTCTACTATCTAAGTAAAGCCCAAGGTAGCGGACTTGGTTCGATGGTGGTATTATTTTATTGTAAATGTGCACTGGTGGACAGGTTTGTCTTTTGAGCGTAAATGTAACGTGTTGTAAATGTGTAAATGTAACACAAATAAATATTATACTAGTAAATACTTAATATTATTAAATTACTATAAAAATAATAACAATTAAAATAATTAGTTTAATTATTTGGATGTTTGATATTATTTATGTACATATTTAAAATGGGAGGTAGATCAAAATCTGTTATATTATTAATGCATTTATCACCATGTTCAATTTTACATTTTTTAATTTCAAATTTCTCAAACCAATCTAATTCTTTCCCTTTGTTGAAACTATGTAACACTCTTGTATTTAAATTTGAATTGAAATTATGTTTTGTTTCTTTTAGATGGTCCTTAAATTCCGAAAATTTGCTCGATTTAGGCAAGTGTTCTTTTACTCTTGTTTTTATTTCTCTACCGCTTTGTCCTATATATTTAATATCACAATCATTACAATTGAGTTGGTAAACCCCGCTTTTTGCCAAGTTGTCTACTTTGTCTTTAGGTTTTGAGAGGATGTTTTTAAGTGAACCCGTACTTCTAAAAGCTATTCTAAAACCTTCTTGTTTAAAAATTTTACTAACTTTTTGCGATAATTCACCAATGTATGGCAAACAACGGAAACCTACTGATTCATTTGTGGTGGGGTGACTGAGTCCTATTGTTGATTCGTTTAAAGTTAATTTTTTTATTCTTTTAACTAGCAACCTATCAATAAATATTTCTTGATACCCGTTGTTTTTTGCTAAGGTTTTAATAGTTTTTAATTCTTTTTTATAGTTATCAGGTGTTAGCGGAAGTTTTAACATCCGGTCTATGAGCCAAATGAAACCAGCAGCCTTTTGGGACCATGGGTGGGAAGAATCCGCTGGTATCATAGTGTCTGTAGTTGTGGGTTTTCTATATATGTCTATTTCTATTAGGTTGTTTATTATGGACAGTTTTAGGTCTAAAAAGTAAAAATTGTTACAGAAAAAACGG